TTATCCTTTTTATTAAATATATAGAATTTACTCCGTATAAAATGGAAACAGTTTATCATATTAAACAATTTTTAAATTACATGTAAAACCAATCGAAGCGAAAGGAATTTGACAAGAACAAAACTTTGTGACTTTTTTTATTCGTTCTAACAATTACTATCAAATGAAATGCAATAGGGTATAACGTCTTGCATTTCTACTATGACTATCATCTATTATTTCCAAAGTGCAGTAAAAAAAAAAAATAAGTAACAATGACATCTCTTAATTTTACAAATCTAGCATTTGGCAGAAACATATTTTATTTTGATGGTGTAAATTTACGGTTTGGATGGAACCGTTTGGGTTTTTTTCGGTTGTTTACTCCACTACTTTTTGGTGTGCGGACTTTGCGTTTGATGTCATTATTGTGAAAGCAACCAGAAAGCAAGTGCGCGGATTTGCTTATTCGACCCCAAATCAACCTACCCGTTAATTCGGAAAATGCTGAGAGATGATTTGAAAGGCTTTGATCATCAAGAAATTTACTTTGCTGTCTAATTACGGTCGGTTGTACATCATGCTGTAGTCACAGGCCACGGCGCACTTTTCCCGAAATTGTCTTTTGATGCGATGTTAATGGAGTGGCCAATCCAATAAAACGAAACGAAATTTAATTAGATTACCAATTCCAAACATACCGTGACTTCTTTTCCAGGTATCCATCACGCAGCATCACGTTGAACAATGATACGGTATTACACCAACGTAACAGAATCCAATATAATGGAATGTTATCATTTAATACAAAACTCCACATGCCAATATTACAATAATTACATCGCAACAAAGTCAATGATATCCACACAAAACTCTCAGATGTCTATAAATTTGGCTATCACGAAAGGACGTTTTCAGCAAGGATTTGTATGTGGGTCTGTACATGTGACATGTTAGTTTCTGTTGTCCTGAATATTTCATCGGATGTAACACATTTGTTTACCCCTTGTCCTGAATCAGTTGATCTGCTGCCTGAAATACGTTTATTCATAGATTGTCCCGAATCAGTTGATCTGTTGTTTGACGTTATGACTCATTTAGTTAAACAGTATGAACTATCTGAAACGTTTGATATATGGCATTATATGGATATATGGTATGGTAGGAAAGGCTTAATATATGGTATGGTACGAAAGGCTTAATATATGGTATGGTATGAAATGTTTGATGTATGGTATAATATGGGAAGTTTGATATGGTATTATATGAAACGTTTAAAGTAGCTAAGTCTCTAACTCAATATTATACAAAGTCTTACACGTTGAAAATACGAATTATTTGTCAATTCAAATCAACATTGATGTTGTGATCTTACCAGGAAAAGGCAGGCTTCTGATATCCAATATTTAAGTCAAAATAAATATTTTACCATTGGTACACGAATCGTGTACCATAGTGCGTTTTAGCGTCATTAGCAACAAGTGACCAGAAAGAACGAGGCTAGACATATTCAACTGGAGAGCCTGCTGAATAGACTGGAATAACCAGACGCTAGAAATTGCTATAGGGTTGAGACAAGTGCCTTATTTCGCTGGGCATAACTGGTTTGAAATTAGAGTAAAAACGGAAACAACTGAATGTAAATAAGTTTATATACAATCAGATTACATTATTATATGCTTTGCGACCCATTTGGGTCAATTTCTAGGTGCCAAGTATTAGCGATTTAGCTCCTTTAATATATGGTTGGTACAATCTGATTAAAATACAAATCTATATTTCGTTTCGTTTTTTTTTATACTTTCGATTGCCTCCACTACATGTAGATCTGACCGGTTATAGTGGGAGGTCGCGTCATGGGTCATACGAGCGACTTTTGACCCCATCGCGTCTGACATTTGATTTACCAATCACCGTTGGTGTTTCTAGTGGGATATCCACAGTTCCGTGCACCGCACACCAGGAACTCGCCGCAACAGACGACTTCATTGGCTAATCCCTCACATCAACTCGAACACGAGTTATATAACAACTCTTCCAGATGCTGGTTTAGTAAAGTCATGTAAAACGAAATTTTGAACTATAAAAACGAAACTAAATAGGATCTGTGTTTTAATCAGACTGGATATGGTATGAAACGTTTGATATAATGATATGGTACGAAATATTTGATATATAGTATTGTATGAAACGTTTAATATATGGTATAATATGAAACGTTTGATATATGGTCTGGTACGATATATGGTATTGTATGAAACGTTTGATATATGGTCTGGTACGATATATGGTATTGTATGAAACGTTTGATATATGGTATGGTACGATATATAGTATTTTATGAAACGTTTGATATATGGTATGGTACGATATATGGTATAATATGAAACGTTTGATATATGGTATGGTACGATATATGGTATGGTACGAAACATTTGATATATGAAAGGCAGGGTTTTATATATGGTTTAAAATGTTTGATATATGGTATGGAATATTTGATATACGTTTGTTATATGGTATATAATATTTTATATGTATGAAATGGTTTGAAATAATTGATATTTGGTATAAAACTTTTGGTATATGGTATAAAACGTTTGATATATTGTACAAAACGTGTGATATTATAATCTTGAAATATCTATATTTTACAGTATAAACGGTCGAAAAAAAATTAATCTGTGTTGATTGGACAGTGCAAAAGACTAAAAGGACAGGTGTAATTTTTATACACCAAAATTTCAGTGTGAGCCTATATGCTGTAACCCAGTTGGCTTGTCGGTTTTAAAGGTTTTTCAAGTTTGGGGTGACACGTGTTTCCCCCCCCCCTCCCCGCCCTCTACCCCTCTCTCACTCGGATGATTTTCTAACTTGAGAAAAGATAGAGATTATATTACTTGAAGGCATGATAATTATTAAATTTGGTCAACATTCAAGTTGCCCTTTCGGATATGACTGTCTTTTTTCGAGACAAAGCTACTGCGTAGGGGTATTTTACGTTGATGTCGTTCGATGTATCATAAATGTACAAATTATGCAATATAATTGTTACTAATACCTGCAATAGTACATGGCCTAAATATAAATACGTCGCTCTTAAATAAAACTCAGTCATACTTTTAAGAGAAGAGAGGGTCATATCCTGTGCGGATACCCACCAAACCTTGTGAAACAACTGAACAAGTAGCCTTTTTTCGAGCATTCTTTCTAACGGTAGGTCCTTATATTATATTCATGTATTATCTTTAGACAGAAGTCAAACATTATCTACTCCTTCATGTAAAATATGATAACAAATCAGGTCATACATGCTTGTCGTCTTTATTCGTGTGACGCCATTATAGTTAACATACATGGTGGAGTGTCGTATATGAACCATGTAGGTACTATTGTTTTGTATTAACTATCTAAAAGATAATGAATTTTCAACTTTCAAATAAGATTAGATTTAGAGGGCCATATATCAAAAGATGAGGTTCAGAAATCAAGACATTTCCAAATTTCAAAACAATATTTTCATCGCCTTATAATTATCAACATCACCGCAAGTTTCTGTGGTTTGTTATCGTGAGTTTTTATCGTGTGTTGTTGACTAGTATATTCTTCAATTAACCAGACTTATTAATAAACTTTAAAATTATAAAATAAGTTATTGAATAATAAGATCGTGACTGAGGGACACGACACATGTGTGATATGGGTGAGATCTATTTCTTAAGGCTACCTCCAGATTTGGTCAAAGGTCATTCTTTTTTTTAGCTTGTTCTCTGTCCATTTCTTGCAAAATGTGGGCGTAATTTACATAGCAAACGCTTATTATTTGATAGCGCTAACCCTAACCCTGGTCCTGGTCCTAGCCCCAACCCTTACCCAAACCCTAACCCACAATCTCGTCAACAATCACGTGACCTAACCTTATTTACATCTCAGCGACATTGACAAAATCTGAAGGTGGCCTTAAGATAAGAAATATATCTAGTCGTGTGATATATCTAGACGGGTCAGAGGTTAAGGTGGTATATCTGTTTGAATTAATGTAAAATGAAATGGGGATTAACGTCCTACTGAATTAATGTAAAAAAATTAACTGATACACAATAAATAAAATGAAATGGGGTTTAACGTCCTAATCATATAGATTAGATTCAATAATAATTTACTGTAGAAATCAACGACCCATGACATTAATTCAACTAAATACATCATATATTTTTACTCATCGTAACAAAATGCGTTGTGATGTCATACACATCTTTTTTCAACGAAATTTCCGACACGCTGAACAGTAACAAAAGAGTCGCAAAAAAAAATCATCATGCAGTTGTCTCATCTTTTCAACGTTTTTCGTAGAATATCGACTATTACTGACCTCGTTGACTACGTACGTCATAAATTGATGGGTAAACTGGTGTTTAAATTTAAACTATAAGATGTGTTTAAACACCTTATTCAAGTTTAACGTAATTTTATCGGACGGCTTAAATCGGTAGACATTTTGTTTAAGGAAATTTGTTTTTCATTTAGCCATTTCAAGTAGTTTTAATTGTTCCATTTGTTGTACAATGATCGATAATAATAATACTATTAAAATCAAAATAGATAAAAAGTTAGGACTTCGAATTTTGTCTAATGGTTTGGATTGTTCGTACTTGGTTTTATTTTATTTCAATAAAATGCTAGGGAACTATTAAAAGAAAAATAACTAAATTTTTAAGTTAAAAACCAAATTTGAAGACAGAAAGTAAATTTGCCTCACTAGCAAGTTGTTTTGCTTGCGAAATTAAAGTCTAAACCAGCTATAAAACTTCCATGCAGTGGTCTTCATAGTTCAAATATTGTTGTGCTTTGGTATTCTAAAGTAGTTCATACACGAGGCAGAATATTACACTCTCTCGATAACAAGCGATACCACTTTTCATGCAGTTCGGAGGTTTTCATAATACAGTTTATGTTGTACCTCTATGTATTTTAAATTATTTCCCTTCTCTATTCTGCAGGTCATCTATCGTACCTTACTGATGATGATGTCTGCAAGATTCTCTTCGTTTATGGTGGTAGTGTGGGTTATTAGTCAGAAATCAGCATTGGGTACAGAACCATTCAAACTTAACATCAACCCCTGTCCCACTGAATGCACCTGCAATGGAAATAAGGCAATTCAAATTAAATGTCAAGTTAACATCAGCCATTTTGATATAACTAGCACAATTGGGTCATTTATTACGTCACTTCCTGATAAAGAACTTGTTAACAATTCGATAGATATTCGCTGTCATGACAACCAGATTGTTACCTGGAACAATACTTCAAGTTTTCAAAACGTTCGTTCATTGAGAATTGAAAACTGTGCTATTGATACACAAGGTAGTGTGCTTGTTTTCCTTTCTACTTTCAAGATCAATGACATTTTATTCAAAAAGGTCAACAATGGATTCATCAACCAAATAAATTTAAGAAATTTAAAGACAATGACATCACTCTCCATCGAAAACTGTAATCTTACCAGTGTACCAGAACTAGTTTTACCGAATAACACTTCAAAATTAAGTCAGTTAAGTTTTAGCCACAACAAGATACATACCCTAGACTGTTCGTTTTTTAAAGGCTATCGGTGTTTTGTTGAGCCGTGTGTTCTTGACTTTAGTTTTAATCGGCTGGAAAGTATACCACGCTGCGCATGTGAGACCCCAACTATGTTATATACCATGAAAATAATGGACAACCAGCTATCGGACGTAAGTGGTTTCCATTGTTTAAAACAACAGCACATAAACTTAGATGACAATTCTTTAGAGGAGCTTCCCTCTTTCGAATATGGCGGTACTATAACTGTTAATGCTAACTTTAACCAGCTCAAATCCATAAGGCGGGAAACTTTTAAAAACTTACGAATGTGTCGCCTGGTTGATTTATCTTATAACATTATTGATTGGATTGAGCGGGATGCATTTCGAGGAATGACTCAACTAATGACTCTAATTTTAACTAACAATAAGTTAAAAGAGTTTGAAGTTATGCATGCGCCAGTTGGTTCCATGTGGAATCTCCACATATCATTAAAAAACAACCAGTTGGAATACCCACCTTACAGGAAAAGTAATTATGAACCGCCACAACTGTTCAAAACCAGAGCGAGCAGAAATCCTTTTATATGTGACTGTACCGTAAAAATGTTAAATGATCGTTTAAAAGAGGAGGCGGATATCCCCACACCGGCATCTGACCCTTTTACAACTACCTATAGTAAACTATCTCAGATATTTATTGATGCTTGGTCCTATAAGTGCAGCTCCCCTAAAGTCCTGATCAATCGACTGTTAACAAAAGTGAACATGAGCTCCGAGTGCCCAATTGTAAAGAATTGTCCCTTTGATTGTGTTTGTACCAAATATTTGTCTACGACTACAACGTTAGTGGATTGTTCTTCACGGGCTTTAACACAATTACCACAACATATGCCATATAATTCAATAGCCATCGATCTCAATAATAATTCTCTAACTTCACTGGATGTAAGAAACTATCTAATCAGAACTACAGGTCTTAATGTTAGCCATAACCAAATATCCGCTTTGGATCCAGGAATCGTGCCACTTCTGGTAAACGTGACCTATCTAGATTTGAGAAATAATCAGTTATCGAACTTACCTCGTTCCTTCGAGGACACTTTGTTTGACAACTCGACATCGATATTCCTCTCTGGCAATGCCTGGAAGTGTTCCTGTGAGAACGTTTGGATGAGCCAATGGCTAAATAAGAATAACAATTCCGTATCCGATGGTAGTTCGCTCCAATGTTTGAATGACGCTAATAAGACGTATAAATTTCACGACTTGAATCCAGATATACTTAAGTGTAGTTTCAAAACAAGTCTTGCTATTCTGGCCATAATATTGGGAACTGTCGCTTTCATTGTTGTAGCGATTTCCTTTGTTGTCTACAAGTTTCGATATGAAACCCGAGTTCTGTTCTACACGCGTCTTAAAGTTCATTTCGTTTCAGAAGATGTGGCAAATAAACAATTCGACGCTTTTATTTCGTATAGTGAACATGACAGAGAATTTGTAAAAACGGTTGTCAATAAACTAGAAAATGAACTACCCTTGAAATACAAGATCTGCATACACGACCGAGATTTTACTGTTGGTACACCAATAGCCGAAAATATATCTGCGGCAATAAACAAAAGCAACGTCGTTATCTTCGTTGTATCCAGTCATTTCAGTGAGAGCGATTGGTGTTCTTTTGAATTCCAAACATCTTACCAGACGATGCTTCAGCACAAAAGTCCCAAATTAGTTGTAATTAAAGTGGATGAATTAGATGAAGATAAGCTAGATAACGATTTGAGAGCATATTTTCGTACCAAATATTTCATTGATAAAAACGAGCGTCTTTTTTGGGACAAATTGATATATTATCTGCCTCCATATTAACGTCGCACAGAATATTTTGTGGTCAAAGGTATAGCTATATTTTTAAAATTCACATGTTTAACTATTCTTCTCAAAACGATTTTATGAGAATGATACCTATCTTTGATACTCCATAATCAGAACAACCACTGTCTTACCGTATCTACACTCTCGATCTGTTTAACACAACTTATTTCCCAATGATTTCTTCTCTAATATTACTGCAGATTTTTCTACTAGAAAGGCATACTAAGGTAATATCAGGGTGTGAAATGACAAGGAATGACCAATGGTCAAATTGATCTTGATCGCCAGTTTATCAGTAGACTAGACTACTTTGGTCTTAGGGGTGCAGGAACTAGAAGCCAATCAAATTTTAACTTATATCTTAGCTGAAATTGGTTTTCAGTGATCTGAGTATCTTATTGTTTAATGAGTATTTTAATAATGAAGTCTTGAGGGTAAACACAAGCGCAACCCAAGATTGAAGATTGACGGTTAAAATCACTCACATAACGTCACATCCGCGTTGCTTGCCAGTTAATTAAAAAAATAAACAACTTGAATTGCAGGCTGGACAAGGTTGAATGAAATATGCAATATCTGTATGAGTGTGTTTGTCTTTCAACAAACTCACCGTTATAGTCCCAGTGAGAACATAATATAGCAATAACAAATACAAATGCATGTGGAAATAATTAATATTATTTGTGTTATTTTGTCAAATACACTTACACATTACAAACTCATTTTTTTTTTAGTTCAGGTAACGGGCTTTGAGATGTCCAGAAAATGGAACCCAGAAACAGACATCAAGTTGTGGTGGATGTGTCTCGTCATCTCCCTACTTTTTACAACGACATTTGCATTTTGTCCATCAGATTGCGAGTGTGGCAAGGGAAGTGATCTTCCGCCGTTAATACAACCATATTTTTACCCAAAACGCCACATCCTGTGTAATTTTACGGATGTGAACTTTGACCTGACCAAAAATCTGAACTTGGCAACACAAACTATTAACGATTCGGCATTGCTGGACATTAAAGTTTTATGCCACGGCGACTCCTCGATAAACTGGACTGATGCAAAGTTTCTGAAACACGCATTCGCCTTGCAGATGTTCAATTGTGCTATAGCCAATAACGGCACCATACAGTTCCCATTGGAAACCCCCCTTCGACTTTTATTGTTTAAAAAAATGCGATCTGAAGACATCGATCAGATAAACTTTAGAGGGTTAACATCACTAAATTTGTTTACTATTGTCAACAGTAATTTGAACAAAGTGCCCGTGCTTCCCTTCGCGCCAAGACTACTCAGTATGATTTTTACAGACAACAAAATAGAGAATTTGGAATGTGATTGGTTTGAGCAGAGACCTTGTCTATCTTGCGTCATAGATCTTAGTGATAACGTGATTCGGTCTTTACCACGTTGTGCAACTTCAAACAGCACAATGTCGAATGGATTAACCTTAATCCTTTCGAGAAATAACATTACTGACATGGGTAACATTGGTGATAGGCATATCGGTAACCTAGACCTCTCTCAGAATGATATAACCGAACTTTCGTCCTTTACTTATCGACTGCTTATTGTCTTAAATATTAGTAATAACAAACTCAAATTAATTAAACAAATTAGTTTCCCTAATATGATGCTGATGACGCTTGATCTTAGTTTTAACCAGATAGAAACAATAGAAACATCAAGCTTCTCCAATCTCCATAATCTGAAGCTGCTACTTCTCAACGGTAACCGATTATTGCAGTTTGAGGAAGTTCTCACTCCGTTCGCAGTACCATACACTGAGATAAATCTTAAGGGAAACCTGCTGAGATATCCACCATTGGAGCAACATGGTTTCCAAGGCAGTCCTAAGTTGAGAATATCTGCATCTAATAATTCCTTTTTCTGTGATTGTAATTTGAAAGAGTTTCAGATCATAAGCAAAACCCCGGGGGGAGACATTTTTGTGGACAAAGATAAGATGACATGCGGCCAACCAGAAAGATTAACCGGCCAGCTTCTCCTGGATGTTGATTTGTCAGATAGCTGTCCTGTTATAGAATCATGTCCGTTATATTGTGAATGCGATTATCAAACTTCATCCGCTATCACTTCCATCAACTGTTCTCAACAAAATCTCTCCACATTACCAAAGAACATGCCAAATGGTCAACTATCTCTAAACCTCTCAGGCAATAGTATAGAGGTATTAGAAGAACGTGGGTACTTCCGCAGATTGGTGTTATTAGATCTTCGTTCTAATCAGATCCACCGTATCACCAGCACCGGATTAACTCTCTTATCGGATGTGAAGAGTTTGTTACTTCAGGAAAATTATATTTCTCAGCTGCCTAAAACTATAATCGATGTGCCTTTTAAATATGACACCGCGATATACCTGTTTGACAATCCATGGCAATGTACGTGCCATTTGCTTTGGTTTCCCGAATGGCTAAAAAAATCTAATTCTTCTGTAAGTGATAAGGCGAATCTCACATGTATTCAGCTTTCTCCGCTGCAGCATGTCATTGATGTAACAGGCGAGCAGTTAAACTGCGATGTTCGTTCTCTCCCGGCGTACTTCAACTACGTCATTTCCTTCAGTTTTATTATCCTTGTAGTCATTGTAGTCGTTGTCGTTGTAGCTAAATATAGGTTGGCTGTTAAAGTTTTACTCTATAGGAGACTCCACATTCAAATGTTTGGTCCGGGGCCACTTCCTGGGGGTGTCGAAAATATTCAAAAAGACTACGATGTCTGTATATCGTACAGTGAAGATGCTCTAAAATGGACAAAAGAAACGTTACTCCATCGTTTAGAAAAAATAGAAAATCCCCCGTACAGAGTTTTGGTACCTGATCGAGACTTCCTTGCTGGTGAGTCAATCCTTGATAACGTTGCTATGGCTATTGAAAAAAGTTGCAGCTCGCTTTTCGTTTTTACTCAGGCATTCGCCAACTCGGAAATGGGACTGTTTCATTTCCACCAAGCCTACGCCCACATGCTGAAAGAGAGAAACATTCGTATAATAATTATAATGAAAGATAAATTGAACATGGAAGAACTTAGTGATGATCTCAAGGCATATTTTAAAACCCATACTTACATTGACATAAACGATAGGTTGTTTTGGGATAAACTGCTTTATGTTTTACCCAAACCACAGTCAATAGACATGAATAATCTCAACGAACATATCGAAGTCATGGACAACGCCAACCTAGTTTGATTACGTTAACAAACCATTTTGTACCAATACTATTGTAATGGTGTTTATTAAGGATATTACCACTGATGGTGAAACGATGCAAGAGATTTGTTGTGATCATATTTATACGACCACAATGTCCGTCGACCCGTCGTCTATAATTTCTTATGAACACCCAGCAGAAGACGGGACCCAAGTTATCACCGGTTTTGCTTGAGAAATCTATCTTGTTTTAAGTGTATCTGTTACTTATTGTTCAATCTCTTTAAAGGACACATACATTACATTTCAACAATTACTTCTAGAGTAAATGTCCCTGTTCACCTTGTAATAACGTGTTGATCTGCTTAACATTCCAACAATTTATGTCAATTACTGCTAGAGTTATGGCCCTTGTTCGTTTAGCTCTAATGACAACGGTTATTATTGTATCTATTAGTGAAACGAAGAATCATTTTCAATTTGAACAATTAACGTCAATTACTTAAATATGTGTTCTTTATTCCATTATTTCGATGGGTTTGCACCAATTTTTGATAACTACTTATAGAATTTTTGCCCTTGATTATATCATACCATCGAATCAACCCTACAATGGTATTATACAGTATGTTATAGTCAGTCTTTTCATAGTAACTAAAATATGCCTTGCAAAATCAAATTAGAAATGGAATTGGGATTTTTTGGGTAAAGCTCCATTTAGTATTTATGGACTTTGTACTTGATTCACGTCTAGTATTTATAGACTTTTTACTTGATCTGCATTTAGTATTTATGGACATTGATTCACATAATTTAGTATTTATGGACTTTGTATTTGATTAACATTTAGTTTTATAAACATTGTACTTAATTCGCATTTAGTATTAATGGAATTTGCACTTGATTCACATTTAGTATTTATGGAACTTATACGTGATTCACATTTAGTATTCATGGACTTTGTACTTGATTCACATTTAATATTTATGGATTTTGTACTTGATTTACATTTAGCATTTATAGACTTTGTACTTGATTCACATTTAATTTTTATGGATTTTGTACTGGATTTACATTTAGCATTTATGGACTTTGTACTTGATTCACATTTAGTATTTATGGACTTTGTATTTGATCCACTTTTAATATTTATAGATCGATGGTGTTCAGCCTGGAACAGTATTGTATAAAGCTGTGCCCGGTTTTAAGACTAAAATCAAAGTAACATTTATTACCCATATTACATATTTGCACTATATAATATATACTCATCATTGATTTTAACACATCAAATACTTTTTAAACAATCTTATTAAAATGACAGTCGTTTGACAGTTTTATTGCATTAAACATTTATTTTAATATCTATGTATCACGAGATTATTATTTTGTACTGTGTCTATATTTTGTATATTTTGTGTCTATATTTTGTATATTTTGTGTCTATATTTTGTGTCTTTTTGTTTATTATTATGTATTTCAAGAGAAAAGTTTCAGAATAATATACATTCTCCTGTATGTGCCACTGTGGTTTAATGTTAATGGATACGATATTAGATTTTTCGACCTTTGGTGTAGCGAGCGCGCTTTGGTTCATAAGGCCTGCCATTGAGTTAAGTGCCGTAGTTTTGATGCCACGCTTGTGTGTGACAAGGCGTTAGGTCGTCTGCCTAACCGTGCGGATTTTCTCCGGGTTATCGGATTTCTTCCCAATACTAAAGACCCTTACGCGCAAACGAAATATTCAAAGAGAATTGTATCACATGGTAGTCCCGAAATGACCTAGTTTGAGTTCCTCCACAATGTTGACATTTTGAAACCAACATTATTGCAAAAGACAATTGGGGGTTAAGCCTAATGCGATATATTATGTTTGTCCTATAATCTACAGCATACAGGCGTTTAGGCGTTGTCTTGGAAATAGAGATTATTATTTTTGTTTTAGCTCAATATATCGTTTATTAGGTTTATTTTTAGTTTCCAACCTCGTGAGGTTTTTTTCGGGGTCCTCCGGTTTCCTCCCACTGCTAAAGACCCATGCTCGGAAGCGAATTATTGAAATAAAATTGAACCATATATTAGTGCCCGAAATAACCTAGTTTGTGTCGAGTGGACGTTACCGCTCTCTCTCTCTCGCTCTCTCTCTCTCTCTTTCGTTTTGCTTCAATCGTACCTGAAAGTTGACCTTTGATGCATTGAATGAGTACTGTGGTTGTCTTCAAAAACAAATTAATTTGATATAGATATAATGCCCTGCCAGTGAATGTAACAGCTCAATCAAACTTTCACTGTGGACGTTTAACACAAACTGCTATTATACGTAAACGGTTCATTCACAGTGGGAATTCGAATAAGTCGAGTTGGCAGATTCAGCGTCACTGTTCGGGTAAAGTTCTCGCATAGCATTGTACGCTTAAAATGTCCCAAGTCTTGCGCAAACAGAGGTTATATTAAATTCCACTCCTTTCTATGATGGTCAGGGAGGGCTGGATGACAAAGTCTGTCAATGAGACGCGTGAGGTGGTTTCGATTCCACTTGTACGTGACAAGGAGTAGAGTCGCCTGCCTAGCCCCGTGGGTTTTCTCCGGTTTAGTCCCAGTGCTATAGACCCCTACGAGCAATTGAATTATTGAAATAAACACCATTTTTCCCCCCATCATGTTCTGTATTGCAGTAAAGAGACCATCTCCCTGTCGTGTGGATATTATATTTCCATTCATTTAAGTGTAAATAAAGTTGACTTATTAATACGCTGACCTCTTCATATCTAACAATGACTTGTGTCTGTGTCACATACAGTGCCGTATTAATAGTAATACTTAAGGAAAGAAACAAAGTCCACTCGGAAACAACAGACCGGATAAGCCGGAAAAATAGCTAGTGTACATGAATAGCCTGGAGTGAGAATATAGCGTTACTGTTCTTTTATATATAGTCACACTCACGTGGCGCTTAGAACAAAAGTAGGTGGTATATGATATAGGGCACGTTTAAAGGGCGTACTTTTAAACCACAAAACCCACGAAACAGAAACAGTCATGAGGGGTTTATAAGTACATAAATCGGTGTAACGTGTTGTTTTCAATAACTGTTCATAAAGCCATTATTATTGTGTGAAAAGTGAAGACAGTAAGTCAAGCGGTGTGGTCATAATAATATGACCTAAATAGTACAATGGTCGACCTATACGTGTTATTTCTAGGACACAGTTTTTGATGATGTCATTTCCCACCATTTTGCAGGTTTGAAATAATGTAACAGGCCGATCAAAGGCAAGGTGTGTACTTTCCTCCATCTAAATGTATGACGTACATGGATTATGGGTGGTTCTCAATTTTGCTTGAATAAGGTCGTTTATTCAATTAATCATCCACATTTAACTCATAATTGTTATTTGCACTATGTTCCATTCGTTGCTATGCATATTATTCTTTAATAGAAGCATAATTTATTAAGGTATTATAAACTATGAGTAATTGAATAATGTCAGGGCGTAGACGAAGAAAATGCAAAACAGAGGATGGGCAAGCTCCACAAAGTCTTATGCTTAATGTAATCAGGAAGGCAGACAGTATTAATGCGGCCGGTTACGGTAACTAAACATATAAAAACATAAAATACGTTCCTATAAGATATCAAAATCTTCTATATGTCGTCATTCGGATATACATCAAATAATTTAGCTGTGTGTTCTAATATATAAAGAATTAAGAATAAGTTATTCAGTTTTATAGATAATATTGAAAACACCTTGCTATTGTTTAATCAGTCACATTCTTTTTTTCAAACCAATAACTTTTTGCATACACTTGGTAATCTTGTTTTTCTTGTTCTTGAGTCGACGCTCTTCAAAACAAGCCCCAACTTGGTTTTTGGAAAATGTGTGCATCGATTGGCGATATTCCAAGATGGCTGCCACATGTATCAAAGCAAATGGAGGAATTGATATGTTGGGCAATTTTTTTTATAGAAAACTCCAATGAAGCGTTGAAAAAAATATTTTGTATAAGTCAAGCGTATACAAATAAAATTTTATCGCGTAAGTTGTAAACTTTTTAGAACATCTTTTAATTTCACAGCAAGTTATAAACTATCGGGATATCCTTCCATCCCGCAGCAAGTTATAAACTATCGGGATATCCTTCCATCTCGCCGCAAGTTATAAACTTTCAGAAAAATGTTTCGCAGTGCTGAAAAATTCAACTTTTTCTAATAGTAACCAAATTCCAACAATGTGAGCAAAAAATATCCATTTATTTCTGAAAACAGTTTAACATATTTACCATTTAGATGCAACATATATAAGTAACCAAGACTTCTTTCAGGTAATCAAAGCTTATTTCTATTTCGATAATCATTCGTTGTCATAGTAACAAAATCATAAATTATTAAGAGTGAAAAGCTTTGATTTTGTCATTTATCTTTCCATTTTATAGGTAATTATTGCCTAGAACACATGCGAATTAATCCACAATGTTGGGAAATATATTCTCCTCTGTGGTTAATTTAGAGAATCTGTCAATTTCAGCTAACTGGCTCATTAATCTAACAACTTGTCGTGATAAGATGACAGATATTCATGAAAAAGTGAGATAATTGCCTCGTTGTTGATAGAATTACCTATATAGTTACACTATTTATTACTACAATGGTGTGACCTATCTCATTATTTATGATGGACACACAATCAATTAGGGTTATCCTTTCCGTATCAAATGGCCATCCACAAACTGTATATATGTTATAATGTTCATTTTCTAGAATGGCCAGTCACATAGCCAGGACATCTAACTCGTCATACGAACATACAAAAGGTATCATTTCATGAAACAGAAGAAGCAATAAATGTGATTCGATATACTACAAGTTGTATTGTTTGACATACGAGCTACAATTTATTAAAGCTTTGTGAACTTATGAATTATATGAGAAGTGGTATCAAATGTTCTACAAAGGTTAAACTAGAAAAAGGGGACCATTTACGATCCACGGCAATTGAACTACTGCGTCTGTAACAACTTTAAGGCACACTATTCAAGAATACAAGTCGAAGAGAACTTTCTGTCTCAGAACGTCAGCCTTCAAAAAAAAAAGAACAACTCATTTCTATCATGAAATAAAGATGACATCTAACCTTTCTTTTAAAAAAGATGAATCTAGATTGGTAGCAAAAGATCACTTTTCAATCCTTATTTTTTTTTTTTTAAATCAGGAAAAAGTTGGGTTTTTGTGTAGCCTTCTGCCACATTGACATTTTACGAAAGCGAAGTTTTAGGCGCTATCTTAGGTAAGGCGGTCGTCTTGATACATCTGCAGGTGTTACTCGTTAAAAGAAAATTGGAGCAAAGAAAAATCAACAATATTCACACAGGCTACTAGAACATCAGATAGAGATTAGTAACATCTCGTCCGGAGATTATACAGCGAGGTGTAGTATTTGAGAAAATAAACGTTATCTCAGAGGTACGCCCAGTTCGGATTTTTTGTTTAGATAACAAATCCTTATCCTTATTATAAGCCTTTACCAACAGCTGATACTGACAACATATCGAGGTATTAACACGATACTCTAAATTGTCACTGGACAAGATTTGTTTTTCGACAGATGTGTTAAACACCAAACAATGTATGAAATGTGATCTTTATGCATCTATTATTGCCATCAAGCACGAACAATAGTACTATCATTGTTTGATTTTAAAATCAGTTATTTTCATTTAACGTATTAATAAGTTAAAAGGCGAGTAGAATGACTGCATGTTATAAAAGCAGTTTTCACAAAGGAGCAAAATTGCCGTAAAGCGTTCACTAAAGACAATCTATAGTAATTTTCGCAATCATAATATTATAATAATGCTCAAAATTAGAATTTAAAGATTGTAATGTGGTAAAACGTCTCGTCAAAACAACCCTAGGGTAAGTTTGAGACTAATTTTTGGTAATTATTTTTTCGATGAATATGCGTGCCATGCCAGGGAGAAATTTGCCCAGACAGTGGCGCTTCAGCTTCCTTTTTTATTTCCAACTGTGAAATGAAATGGGCTTTAACGTCCTACTGTTCTAATGAAGACGGACATACGCCATACAGTGCCGGATAGCGGCACTACAGCCTACTTTTCTCCAATTATCAAGAGTTATTTTACATGCACGGGTTTACCCGCGGGTGTGTTGCATGCTTCTCCGGAATTTTTTTAATTTCTGAACGGGCAGCAGTAGTCGTTCCGTAGTGCATTGGCCTCTCCACTATATTATTCCAGGTTCGAATCCCGATGTGGGTCAATAAGAATCTTCGGGATTTTTCAAGCCCCATGTTCACTTGTCAAGGAAGGTACCCGTGGGGCGACAAGGAATGTCTTGTCGTTTGGATGGAGGTGCAGTAATGTACACATTAGCGTCCCAGTTAAACAGGCATTATGCAAGAGCTAAATCTGCCTATTGCTGTATCATGAGGTCTGTCATTGAGTCAACTGGTATGGTTTCGATTCTCCGGCTGTACATGACAAGGAGTAGGTTCGCCTACTCGTGTTTTTTCTCCGGGTCCTCCGGTTTCCTCCCACTGCTAAAGACCCCTACGCACAAGCGAATTATTGAAATACAATTGAACCATATGTTAGTCCCAAAATGACCTAGTTTGTGTCGAGTGGACCTTAAACCCCATTACGAGTCTTCCTTTAGGCCGTATGTGCTCTATAAATTATTAATAAGACATTAATTAAAGTAGCTAAGTCTCTAACCCAATAGCATCCAAAGTCTTCGACAATGAAAACACCAATTATTCGTCAATTTTAATCCACACTGATGTTGTGATCTTACCGGAAAGATATGGGCGTCTGATATCCAATATT